TCTAAAACTGACCAACAAACATGAACTTACTATTATCATTTGCGATTTCAATGCCAAAATAGGACAAGGTACAGTCAAGAATGTGGTGGGGTCATATGGTCTTGGCATAAGAAACGAAAGAGGAGAAAGACTGATCCAATTCTGCCAAGAGACGGATATGGTTGTAACGAATACATTTTTTAAATTACACCAAGAAGGCTTTATACATGGAAAGCACCCAGTGATACCCCAGGAAAAATCATAAGAAACCAAATTTATTTTATCAACATAAACAAAAGGTTTAGAAATTCTATCACCTCAACAAAAACATATCCAGGCGCAGATGTCTTCTCAGATCATAGTCTATTGGTTGCAAATATCAACATACGACTCAAAATAATTCATAAGAAAATGAGGCCCAAGATAGATATAAGACTACTAAAAGAAAATGACATCCAGAAAAAAGTAAAAACAGATATTAATAAGAATTTTGCGAAAATAGTTGAAGACACTACTAGAGACATAGAAGAACAGTGGAACGAAATGAAGACATCTATTACCACAATTTTGCATGAATATCTAAAATCAAAAAGAGAAAAGAAGCAAGAATGGATGACAGATAAAATATTGCAGATGATGGAAGAGCGAAGAAAATTAAAAGGTAGAAATGACAACGAATACAAAAAGTTGCATAAGACTATACTAAAGGAGATAAAAGGAGCAAAAGAAGCATGGCTGACGGAGAAATGTACGGAAATTGAAACACTACAACGCAAACATGACGATTTCCATAAGCACAAAAAAATTAAAGAGGTACAGAACACCAGAAAACAACGCAATACAGGCATAGTTGTAGACATTGAAGGCCAGATTTTGACTACCATTGAAGATAAATTACAAAGATGGAAAGAATATATGCAAGAATTATTCGAAGATGCAGCACGAAGTCCGACTGAAATAAACAATCCCTACGGCCCAGAAATAACAAACGAAAAAGTAACTATGGCCATTAAGCGGATTAAAGATGGGAAATCACCAGGACCTGATAAGGTGCATGGTGAAATTTTAAAGCTATTAGAGACACACCAAATCACAGCTCTTACGAAGCTATTTCAAACATCTACGAGACTGGTTATTTACCAAAAGACTGGCTACTATCAATATTCATTTCACTTCCTAAAAAAGCCAACGCTAGAAAATGTGAAGAACATAGATTAATTAGTTTGATGAGTCATGTACTTAAAGTACTCCTTACTATCATTCACTCACGCATATACACCAAATTAGAAGAACACCTCAGTGAAGTTCAATTTGGATTCAGAGCAGGACTCGGAACGAGGGAAGCACTTTTTAGTTTGCAAGTTCTAATACAGAGAGCCAGGGATGTCAACTGCGATGTGTATGCATGTTTCATTGATTTCGAGAAGGCATTTCTGAAAGTCCCACATGGAAAACTAATCGATATCATAAAAACATCAGGACTCGATGGTAAGGATATAAGACTGATGTCAAACTTATATCTCCAACAAAAAGCAACAGTGCGATTAGAAAATGAACCGTCCGAGATCTTCTCAGTTGAAAAAGGAGTTAGACAGGGTTTGAAACCTCAATACTCCGGGAGTATTGGATTTTAGGAAGTGTAGAACTTCCAAATTTCAGAAGAACTGGAAGAGAGGTGATGAAAATACTAAAAATATGGCTAAGCTCAGAGGAACAAAGTTAAATGGCCAAAGAGACACTAAATCTCAAGTGAGTGTTCGGGCTAGCTTCAATGCACTGAATTGTGGCTTTAAAGATATAAAGCAGATAGCAAGGATAATGAGCTAATGAGACAAGAAACGAAATGAGACCTGTTAATATCAAATGTGATACAACTAAAGAAGGTCACTGGGAATAAATTTATAGAAAAAGGACGATAAGAAGAGAAGAAGAAGGGCGCCAACTCAACGATAGTTGAGATTTTGAAGTAACAAATGACTGGAAACAAATGATTCTGGAGATAATAACCTGAAATACAAAATACTAAATACTAATCTTGTCTTGCTATATTATATACTGGTTAGTAGAAACTGAAATAAAACTCAAAATAGTAACAATAAATATATTTATAAAAATGTGTATATAGATATATATGTATTAACAATTTACATATAATGCAAAACTAAATAACAGTGGTAGTGGGTGTGTAAAGATACAATAGGACCGAATAGCCCCTCAACAAGCGAATAGTCACTACCACTGGCCAAATAAAGTGTGAAATATTAGTAAAAACCTAGAATAGTCCGTATGGTAGCCAAAGTCTTAACACTAAAAGTTAGTAATTTAATTTAACTTAGTTCTACTAGAATGAGATACAAGTGACAGTATGGTAAAGATATCAAAATTGATAAATCTAGTACCATTTATATCATAGATAAAAAGTGAGTTGTTACATATTCCTTATATAATGTTTTAAAAACCACATGAAATTTATTTCCCTCCCCAATATCAAAATTGTATTATATCAAAATGTATTGTATTAAAAAAATATTATATCAAAAAGTGAGTTTGGTCAGACTCTTTATATACTATTTAAAAAACCTAATAAAAACATGAAATGTATTTTCCCTCCCCAATATTTTAGAATTATATTATATCAAAAATGTATTCACCTGATCATATGCATATGAAAAGTGTACACTACTAAATAGAAAGTAACAAAAAGGTTAGACAGTCAAACAACTTATCTTTACAGCACTATAAGTCCATAGGAAAACTCCTCTTGGCACGGCTAAATCAGTTTGTTGCTGTAAAGGACAAATCCCAGGGGAGTCTGGGCACAAAACCAGTCACTGGTCTATCTGCTCGGAGTGACGGCAAAATCCACGAGAGTTGCTAACTATTTAAGAAATTCTGTTACTAATATCCTTGAGGGAATATTCTTAAGAGAATACTCTCAAGTGACGGAATCTAAAAGAATTATCAGATTTAATTTCTATGTAATTTAATAGGTGTAGCAGCATGGATTGACTGCACCAAAACAAAACATCAAAACATTAGGTTAGGTCAACATGTCAAAATTTCTGAAGTTACTTCGTAGACATGACAGGCTTGCGCCATGAAATGAACATGCGCAGAATACAGAAGGCTGTTCAATAATTGTAGAGCCTATTATATTCCACCAAAAAAAGTTAGAGAAAAAAAAGAAAACAAAAAACCCTAATGATACGACGTGGACTAAAACAGAATTTAAGTTTGACTATATAAAAAATGATCTTATGTTCTTTGCGAGTGAATCAAGGAAATTTTAAATTTAAATTATTTCGGAACTCAAAAATAAATCTCTAAAGAAATACTAAACTGCAATGATAAATTTGATTATATGATAAAGAGATAATACGTATGAAATTATTTACTTACATGGAGCCGCAGCACGCCAAAAAAAATCTTCCTTTTTATGTGGAACTCTTATAAATGAATCTTGATTTTATTAAAAAAAATTACTTATTATTATTATTGAATTATATATTTTTTATTCTTGTCCTCGATTTTATTTGCCCCAATTCCGTCACTTTGAACGTGAGAAAAACTCACCGGTTGGCGTGTCTGCGTATACGAGTTCTGACCAAAACTGATCGTTCTCGTATAAACTCGATCAACTTTCCTTCCAAAGTGATCCTTGCGCGTGTGCGGAAAAATGTCGTTTAAAAATCGATCGCGGGCGGATCATAAGAAATTTCGTGAGGGGTTTTATTAATACAATTTTTAACTCTGATAATATTGCACTAATCAGTAGCGTAAACGCTACAGGTTGCATATTGTCACCGGCATTATTTAACATATACTCTGAAAACATCTTTAGGGAGGTCTTGGACGAATCAGAAGATGGGATTTCTGTAAATGGTCAACTTATATAACAATAAACAATATTAGATATGCAGAGGATACAGAGTTGCTGGCAGATAGTGCACAGGGGCTCCATAAGATGATGGATGACGTTGTAGAAACATGTAAACAAATACGGCCTAAAACTTAATAACAAGAAGACAAAAATAATGATCATTAGTAAGAACACCAACATAAACGCCCAAATTACAATAGGCGATACACCGTTAGAAAGAGTGGAAAAAATATGCTATTTGGGCTGCAATATTAAGGATACTTGGGATCACAGCTACGAAATAAAAACTCGTATTGAAAAAGCCAGAAGCTCTTTTAACAGCCTTAGGAAGATTCTCTGCAAACTATCTTTAAGTATCAATATACGCATAAGAATTCTTAGATGTTACGTCTTTAGTGTCCTCCTCTATGGATTAGAAAGCTGGAACCTTGCAGAAGACGCCATAAAACGATTAGAGGCATTTGAAATGTGGTTCTGCTGACATATGTTGAGGGTCTCATATATACACCACAAAAATAACATAAATATGCTCCAGAGGCTAAGAAAAGACAAAGAAATTATCAACACCGTAAAGAACAAAAAATTGGCTTACTTCGGACACATCATGCGTAATCATAAATACCGACTTTTACAGTTGATTCTACAAGGCAAGATTGAGGATAAGAGATGCCCTGGACGTAGACGTATATCCTGACTGGTTAATTTTAGGAAGTGGACTGGTCTAACGTCAACGGATTTATTTCGGGCTGCTGTAAACAGAATAAGATGGATCAATATGGTCGCCATCATCTCTAGAAGATTAGCACATTTAGAAGAAGTATTTAGTTCTATAGAACGCAACATATTCGTGAAAATAACCAGAGACTGATCGCCTATACAACTCTTAAGAAAAATATGGTCAAACAACATCAAGTAAGGCTAATACGTAACTTTAATAAGTATCACTATATAGATGAACTTCCTTTTATTTTTACGGTCGTCCTAATTTCTCATTTTCGCAATTCTTAGTTTTTGCTCACAAATGGCCTAAAATGTTTAACACCATAAAATAATCAATTTTTAAATTTATGATAAAAACTATTTCAAACTATTTAAAATTTTATATTTGGACACATTCAGTCAATGATTTTAATGTTTTTAGTACGATCTACATTGCGAAGAAAACCTGTGGAAGTTAACTATGGTTGGTACAGTGAACAGCATTGGACAATTTGTCGGATTATTTATTGGTGGCTTTATATCTGACAGGTGAGTTTTCTGAATTCATTATAATTATAAAGAAAACAAAATAGAATATTACTATACACCGTTGTACAATTTGTCTGGTATTACTCTCCAGTTTTTTAGTTTTTTACTCTAAGATTCTCTATTTCATGTTCTACTTGACATTTTCCATCTAATTATTGGTCTTTTCCTTTCTTTATTGCTCAACAGTCTCGTTTTTAAAACTTTTTATCATATTCTCGTCTGTCCTTTTTCAAATATGGCTTACCATCTTGACCTTTCTTCTTCTTTAGGTACCCTCTCCTCTAAGGAGATTGGTATTCAACTATTTTCACTTTTGAGATTGCAGCTCTAAACAAGTCGATGGAACTGCAATTATACCACTTTCTCAGATTGTTGAGCCAGGAGATGCGTCTTCTTCCAATACTTTGTTTTCTCTGTATTTTTTCCTGCATTATGGTTTGTAGCAACACATATGTATCCCCTCTCATAACGTGGCCGAGATATAATAAATCTAGTTATTTTATATTCTCTTCTATTGATCATATAATTAATCGTTTGTTGTTTTGTCCCAAATACTATCTGTGTTAGTCTCGCCATATATTTTTCTTAACCTTCTAAGCTCCATATCCAGCTAAGTCCATATATTTATTAAAAGTTACCGCCAGGAAATGATCTGATTCATATATATATATATATATATATATATATATATATATATATATATATATATGATCCTTTCCCAAGTTAATATGCTCCTTTTCTAACTTGGCTGCACCGTACTGAAGACGACCAATAGTCAGAAATACGTATATACGGTTGCCTTCAATCGATATACCATTTTTGGTTTTCTGTTTTGCGAGACATGCCATTACTTTTTTACTTTTATTATTCACTCGCATTATCCTTTTCCATTTGTTTTAAACGTTTCAACGTTTGGCATTCCTTTCCCAGGTAGCTGTAGCTTCCTCCGTGGTTGGCGTTAGTTGTTGCCCTGGAAACCATCAGGGTCTTCTAACTCTAATTCCACAAATTGGTTGCATTGCTCCTGTAGTGATCCTTTCCCAAGTTAATATGCTCCTTTTCTAACTTGGCTGCACCGTACTGAAGACGACCAATAGTCAGAAATACGTATATACGGTTGCCTTCCATCGATATACCATTTTTGGTTTTCTGTTTTGCGAGACAAGTTGTTTTTGTAATTTTCTCCTTCTGTAACTAAGATCTGTAATATGTTAAAAACTTATCTGTAAAAATAACGCTCCATTCCATTCCATTCCAATTCCATTAAAACAATAGGTGTGACCATCTATGACGTACAAAGCTGAAACTCTTACCGTTTTAAAAGATCAGCTAACAAATAGCCAAAAGAAAAATGGAAAATTAGAAACTAAAATAGGAATTGACGGCAGTGCGGAAAATGGATGCAGAAGATTTGTTAAACCATTTCCTCAGATTTCTAAGCCATGACGTTCTTCTTCGACCTGATCCAGTTCTTCTGTCTGTTTTGCCTAATATACACTTCATCTAATTTATATAACGATGCACGTCATCGGCGTCATAGCCTGTGGCGTCACATGATACCAACACAAAATATTTAGGGTGTAGGTGTGTTCTTTTTTAGAATCACTTTACCGAGTACACTGACATTACAGCCACTAGACATATTTTATTATATACGCGTAGAAATCATATTTAAAAATTTCTATTAATGTTAACTTGAAGAAATACACAATAATATGTTTCATTTAATTTGTATAAATGCATTATAAAGCGTTTTTATCAAGAACATTTGTTCGGAACACACTGTAACTGTAATCGAACGAAGGTAAAATTTTGGCATAAATTGGTAACACTTATTTGACAGTTGCGGTGTTGACACTTTTTGTACTTCATTATTTTGAATTTTAAAGTGAATATCTCTTGTTTTATATTTTTAACTATCTAATAAAATCTGTTCTTTTTAGAACAAAATTAGTGTGTTTTATTTCAAAAATGTCACGTAAGAATTTAAATAGTCGTTGTAAAGAGATGGTAATACTTTTGCAATAATTATGTAATCTATTTGATTTAAAATGGAGTCAGGATTTTTTTATACTTTGGCAACTATGTCAACTTCGATCTCTGACGTAGATAATGACGTAAGTCGTTATCTAAATTAGATGAAGTATATATTTATTTGTACTTTATTTAATGACAAATAAAGTACAAAATACAGAGAACACATATTTTACAATTTCTTCTTAAAAAATGCAGCTCTGGCCTTCTCTGTACGTATTCTAATTTGTTTGCTTATGTTCTAATTCTCATTTAGATTACAACCAAAGTAAGTGATATTGGTGAGTCTCTCCAGTTGTTCTTTATAAGTTGTATTGACCTTTGGTTGTATTGGCGTTTTACTGAAAACGATCAACTATTTCTTTGTAGTGTTTAGCTTTAGTCCATATTCATCACACGTTGTGGTAATCCTATTAGTCATATGTTGAAGTTCTTCGTAACAATTTTCAATTAACAGTATGTATCAGCGTACCTCAAATTATCAATATTGACGCCAATAATTTTAATAACACATTGAACACTTCTTCTTCTTCAAGTGCCGTCTTCGTTCCGAAGTTTGGCTATCATCAAAGCTATGCGTATTTTTGATGCTGCAGATCTAAACAGTTGGTAATTGGTGCAATTGTACCATTCTCTCAAGTTTTTCAACCATGAATGCCTTCTTCTTCCTATAGATCTCTTTCCCATTATCTTTCCCTGTATAATCAATTGCAGCAACTGGTATTTATCTCCACTCATAACATGTCCCAAATATTGTAGTTTGCGCTTTTTAACAATAAGTATCAGCTCTTTCTCTTTCCGCACTCTCCGCAAAACCTCCACATTTGTTACTTTCTCCGTCCAGGGTATTTTTAATATTCTACGATACATCCACAACTCAAATTGAACACTATCCAATAGTTTATTTAAAATGATCTCCGAAGAGATATTAAATATTAGTGGGGATAAAATATAACTCTGTCTTACTCCTATTCATATTTGAAGCTCTTCAGAATTATCTCGGCCAATTATGATGTTTGCACTTAATGCCAGGAAAGATTTTTTAATGATACGTATATCTTTATCATCAATACCTACTTGCTAAAGAATGGCTATAATTTCAGAATATTTTGCTCAATGAAAGCCCTTCTCAAAGTCAATAAAACACATATATACAAGTCAATCAGTTGTGTCAAAAATAGTAGTTAGAACTTCAGAAATGAGAACCTTGAGATGAATTGCTGGCTAACTTTAGACACAATACTAAATAAGAAACCTCCCTAAAATATAGGGTATTGTGCGATAGGGAAGACAGATAAAAGACAGAAATGCGAGACTAATTTTAAGTGGAAGGGGTATATGTTCGGTGTTTCTCTCTATTATACTTGTAATAAGCAGCTATACTTATACAATTTTTGTTGTTTATGGTATTTATACCTGTGTTGATCCATGCTACTCTTCACAGCTTCTCTGCTTGACCTTTTCTGTTAATGTAACAAGGAAACATTGGCAGTGGCCTAAGGGTGTTTTTCAATCATATTAGGATATTAGTCCGGTATTTATTACAACGGTACTTGCTTATTATTATCTTCAATGTTAAGTCTTATGGCATGTATAACTTTTATTATGGAGAGCCTTACCTTTTATTTTATTTAGTATAAACTAGTTTTACTTAATAAGTTGTTCCTCAACCTCAACTCTGTATCTATTAAAATTGTAATACGTGATGGTCTTGGATTGAAATAATGAATAGTTCCAGTACATTATTAGTTGTGGTTAGAAGAAAATTAGGAGAACTCCTTACACGTTAAATATAAATAATTATTGTTATTACATTATCAAGTTGTTATGACATCACGGTGACGGTTATACTCCTAATTAGGATCATAAATTCATTGCTAAGCAAATACCTAGCATATATATGATGATTTAATGGATATAAATCAAACTAGGAGGGCGAAAACCTACATTTCAAGAAATACAGGGTAGTACTGAACAACATTTCACACTACATAAATATATATTATTCGTCTTTCTCTGTCACTTTTCCAATGAATTCTTTATAATTACCTCTTTATATTTTTTCTTTTCTAGACAATGTAAAGGTATAATAAAGCCTCAGTCTAACGATACATTTACCATGAAATGTAATAATATAGACAAACGTAAAAATGCACACAACCAATGTAAAATTGTACCACAACTTAGGAAATTACTCCGACAAAAATACCCACAAACCAGCAGTGAGGAAGGTAAGTAAAAATATCAAGAACAGATGCCAAGACGAAAAAACATTCAGAATGGAAAAGAGAGAATATACAGAAATAAAATTAAAAGAAATGGAGGAGAAATATTGAAGGCACGCAATAAGAAACTTTTATAGAGACATTTAAGTAATAAATAGTGGCTATAAGTAGAGGCCGGAATACCTGCGCAATGCATATTTTTTGCATAAATTTCATATTTTGACAAGAAATTGCATATTTTTATAAAAAAAGTATTTTTTAATGTGCCGACCGTTTCTCAAAATTGTTTATTCCCATTCAACGAGTAATAAAACCTATGTTTATTACCTATGTCAATAAGTACCTGTATGAATCATCGAAATTTACATTAGTATTATTTATGGTTTTTGGGTCATAAACGTGTGCATTGAGGCAAATTTTTAAAGTGCATTTATAGTGTAATTTTATTACGTAACCCGTGACTTCGTTAATGTGTTTATCTCGCGATGTTCAAACTAAATTAAAGTTGAATGGAGGAAAAGTATTTTGTCGAACTTGCTCTAAAACTGTATTTCCTGATGAAAATTTTTAATCGATCAGCACACAACGATACCTTCTCATCTTAAAAAATGTGATAAAACTTTTAAAGGCTCAATTCAGAAGGGCAATTGACAATGACGCTATGACAAAGACAAGGGTTACCTGCCGAAACGTTTCAATGGCACAAAAAAATCTAGTTCCAAATTTAATATCACTTATTGA